GGTGTGACACACGAGGGCTTCGGTTTCCTTTCGCCTTGCAGTCTCTGTCTTCCTCTCAGCTGTGTCTTTCCGTGGTAGTGGCTTTGCTCAGGTTCCTGCTTAGGGTGGAGGGCAGGGCGGAGGGCGGGGACGGAGGGCGGGGGCGGGGGGCCGAGGGCGGGGCCGAGGTCCGGCTGGAGGGTGGGGTCTGATGCAGCTGCTGAAACTGGTAGGTGCATGGAGGGCTGCTCAGCCTGGATCTCCTTAGCAGAGGCTTTGTGGAAATTCCCAGCACTTTATTATTTATTTTTTTATTGTGGTAAAATATACCATGTCACGAAGCTTGCCATTACATGCTTCAGTGGTGTTATGAACCCTTCGATGTCCCACCGCCACCACCACAGCCTATTTCGAAAATCTTTCCATCATTTAGAAAAGTGGAGTGACCAGTCCTCCCTGTCGCCGTTCCTTCTCCTCCTGCCCCTCAGACACAATTCTACTTCCCAACTCTCCGCTACACTGGGTACCTCGTACTGGCGGAACCTTGTCATGTCATTCTTGCGTGTCTGGCGTCACTCACCATGATTTCATGTCATGTATGTCATGGCCCGCATCAGAGCGTCACTCTTTTTTAAGCTTCAAACTCATATTCCGTTGTACAGAAATATGATTGACCCATATGTTGGTGGACATTCGCGGCTGTGTCTGTCATTTGGTGTGCAGGCCATGTTGGTGGAAGTATGAAGGTTGTCATTGTAGAACTGAGAATAGAAAGCTGGGAGCTAGCACTGTGGCGGCAGTGTCACAGCTCTTGAAAGTGTTTACAGCTCCCAATAAGCACCGTGACAGACCAAGACCAAGAAACTGAGTGGCGCCCGGGCAGGCTTGGCCGGGCTGCTTCCCGGAGGTCCAGGACCCGACTCACAGGGAGGAGGATTTCCACGGCACTCACAGCCAAGCGGGGGTCCAAGAACAGAGAGTTGGTCATCAGTTGCTTGGAAGAACATTACCCTGAATTCCACTTTCTTGTCATACAGCAGAGACAGGGACAAGAGGCTACATCAGCTCAGGAAAATCCCAAACTTAGGACAAAAGGCTTCGTGGAAGTGGGGAGGGGGATGCCGAGGGAGGCAGGGGCTCTCATCTGAGAGCACATGTGTTTTTCACGATCTATGGTGTCAAGGTTGGGAGTCAGAATGCAGCCTCGGGACAACTGAGGCCCCACTGAGGGCTTTGGGTCATGCCACAGAGATGCCTTCAAGACCAGCAACACGTAGAGCATCCTTAGGGACTGGGGTGGGTGGTGACCTGTGGTGGTGACAGGATGCAGAGCCAGTGGGCGGTGAGCACAGCAGTTCAGATGGGAGATGAGAGCATGAAAGAGCACAGAGAGGAAAGGTCAGGGACAAGGAACTGAAGGAGCCAGAAGGACTTGCATGCCTTTTCACCTCCATTACTGCAGGCTGAGGGATGGATGTCCTCGAGGAGAGAGCATGCAGGGCCCCATGTGCTACCTCTCGGGAAGCTTTCCGCCTGGCCCTCACAGGGCAGTGCAAGCTCTTGAGACCATTTGCAAATGCATGCAAGGTTGCAGGCCTTGGGAGAACCAGACCTGAACCCGACATCAATGGAACTGTGCCAAGCAGCAGATGTGTGACCGTCCTGTCACAAAGTAGAAAGCAGAAGTACCTGCTCAAAGTGCTGGAAAGCTCCTTCTGGACAGCGAGCACACAGTGACAGTGACTGGCTGTGGTCTCCAAGATGTGACATTCGGAAGAGACCCAACCAAAGAACAGGGCAGCCAAGCACACAATGCCTGCAGTGGACCCTTAGAAACTGCTGCTTTCAGGGTGTACAGCAGGGAAAACTGATAGGTAAAATCCTGAGAGCTCCTGAGTTGAGATCTAAGGCAAATTGGGGGCTGAGTGACATGGCTGGGGACAGTGCCAGCTCTTATTTGGGGCAACAGGCAGGAAGAGGGACCCCAGGGGTCCTTCTATATTTTTCTGTGGGACCAGATGCTAGACCATGAAAGGCTGCAGACCATGAAGAATTCAAGACTTGCTGAGAGTTATAGGAAGCGAAACATACATTTCAAAGTTAAGCGTGACAGGATTAGGGCCAGGGAGATAGCTCAGCCATCTAAGCTCCTGCCTGGCAAGCACAAGGATCTGGGTTTGATTCCTGTTATCACGTGCTGCGCTGGCCCTGCGCTGTGCCAGCCAGCGAGACAGCACTGGGTAGGCTGAGACAGGAGGATCACTATGAGTCCGAGATGCATGGTGAGACCCTGTACCAAATATGCAAATAAATCTTTAAAATAAAAGAGTGAAAGGATTAGACTGAAAGCATTGAGAGGCTGGGACAGCGAAAGGAGTTGGGGCCACATGGGATGCACCAGGGAGTGCTGGCAACTGGGCTACTGTGCCACAGTGAGATCGAAAGGTGGGGAGGCAGCACAGCCAGCCGGGGACGTGGCCACGAAGGCAGGCAGGTGTGTGAGTGTCTCCCAGGTTTCTGTCTTATCTAACAGGAATGGCAGGACACTTGTCTAAACAAGTTCCCATTCCCTGCTAGACTTGTCATTTTCAAACTAGGTATCCGTCTGTGTCCTGTAATTTCGAGGTGTGAAATGTAGATGGAAGGGCTTCTGGGATAGGCAACGGGGGATTGGCAGGAGCAAGCCATGCTGGCGGCCTCCAGTGCTGGTCTTTCCGCTAGAGGATGTGTGTGTGTGTGTGTGTGTGTGTGTGTGTGTGTGTGTGCGCACGTGTGGGTGCACATAGTGTGTCATCACCCACAGTTGTGGAGGAAGTTTTGCTCCTCGCCTCCATTTTTCAGAGTTAAAATTTCTGATAAGAACCTATTTGTCAAAACAAAATGCCAGTTCTGAGAAGACAATGTTATATGCACCGAAGGCCTGTCACAAAAACGTATTTTTTAAAAAATGGAGCAGTGCAGGTTTGCTTAAGGGCCCATTAAGATACAAGGCCATCTCCATGCAAGCCAGGCAGGCCTTCCTTCCACCAGCTGGCGCAGCGAGGACGACAGGGACACAGTCTTGGAGCATGCACTACCACAGCCTGGAAGTCACAACAATTCCAAGTTCTACTCTGTGCAATTGTGAAAGCAGCCAGGGCTGATGCTGGCTTAAACGATAGGGCAAGAGATGCTCTAGGGAGAAGCTGGGACAAGGACACACAGTATAGTGACTGTTTCAGAGGACAGGTCATGCTATCCTCCAAGGCGCAGGGTCCAACTCGTCCAGCCTAAGCAGACGGAGATGGCAGCCCTGCGAACTCTGCAAGGTGAAACGGAGCCGAGGGCTTGAGAATGCCTCTGGGAGGGCACCAAGGAAAAAGCTGCATGCCCCAAGCCCATTTCTGCTGCTGCACTGGGCCCCATCTGGGCGCCCCAGTCTCCTCGCAGGCTTCGCAATGCACTTGGTAAGAGCCCAGAGGGCAGAGGCTTCCAAAAGGCTTGCTAAGACTGAACTGCTCTTTCTTCAGAAGTTTGTGTGGGTGGGGTGAGGCCGCAGCAGGGCCCGCAGGGCCTCTAGGATGGCAGCTTGTTTCTCCGCTTATTCAAGAGAACCCTGAATTCTTGCTTTCTCCCCAGGCTGGATTTGAATCTTGGAGCAAGCTGAGAAAGATGCTTTTCCATGAGGAAGACAGCTACCTCAGTGGGATTCTTTACTCTGAAGGACAGGGTCTGAGCTCCTCTGTGTGCTACCGGGCATCACGGCCATCAGAAAGAGGCTGCCTGAGCGTTCAACACAGGGGCTGGCCAGCTGTGTCAGTGAACTCCAGCTCGAAAACCTTTGGATGAGGGGACACTAGGGATGGACCGAGCACTAAGTCCTAATCTCAAGTACAGCAATGCTACAGGCATGAGGCACGACTTGCATCTAATCAGTAGGCCATAGCAAAGGTGACGGGGAGCCACTCCTGAGGTCTATTGTGTCACGTAAGGCACGGTCTTGCTATATTTCCATTTTCTCCTTGCTGCTGGCTTTGAAGAAGCAAACTGCTATGAGCCCCCCAGCCACCAGGAAATAAATTCCTTCAACAGTAGGAGGAAACTTCAAGGGTGACCTCCCCGTGTGGCCTCAGGATGAGTCCCACCTCCACCTGCCTGCGGTCTCCTAGAAGCTTGCAACTCCACCCCCACACTCCTGGCTCCCAGCAGCCAGGAGACAATAGGTGTGTCTTGTGTTCAGATGCTTTTTTTAAAAAAAATAATTTGTCTATAACAATAAAAAGCCAGATTTGGTCCCAGGAAGAGAATACTGTTGTCACAAATACCTAAATATGTGAGACAGGCTTTGGAACTCAGGTGAGAAGCACCACGAAGAAAAGAAAAGCAGCTGAGAACATGTAGCTCTCCAGACTGAATAATTTCATGGAAACAAGAGTACTTATTACTAAGGACAGAGAAACATGACAACGTAGGCCTAGATTAGAATAGCTAACCTGAGTACAATTTGCACACAAACTAAGAAGATTAAGGTGTACTTATACAAAGAGGTCGAAGTGAAGTATTATGTTTTAAAAAAAGCTTGATTGGTCCCAAACAATTAAAATGATGCTTATGGACAGGCTGAGGAACGGACACAATCAAGCTGTGGGACAGGCTGCCTGGCATTTGCAGGAGACACTGGTTGATCTATTTATCTGGAAGGCGTATGTCTGCAAGAGAGATGGCTCTTTGCTAGATTAATCGCACCCAGCAACACTAAGCCTCTTTGCTTATCAACAGAACTCAAATTTGAAAATGGGACTTCCTCTTTGAAGTCACTGCAGGCATCCTAGCACTGACAGAGGGATATTTTGCTCACATTCCCAGCCCCCTGAGAGGTCCACAGACTGTGGACAGCATGTGTGTGGGCTTCAGTCCTGCACACACAGGGCACCTCGAATGCAGACAAAGGAGGGAGCGGGTCTCTGACATCACACACACATTGCCGCAGGGCTAAGCACACACGATACTGAAGTCACTCAATATGGAGAACTAGTTTTCAATGCATTTGTCATTTTTATTTTGCTATGCAGAAACATCATTCACCACGGGGTGTAATGCAGTTGACAGTGTAATGGAGAATATATCTTTCTGAAGGCTATTTATAACTAAACACTAAATAGTTTTAATTACAGTGGAAAGTCTGTACAGTTTAAGGCTTGGCTCTGAACTAGATTGTAAATATGGACCAGATTTGGAAATAAAACTCTTTTTTTTTCAAGTAAAAAGAAGAAAAAAAATCAATGAAAAAATACAAAGAAAAAGAAACGAAGAACACAGCAACAGAAGCTCACTGGGTTTTGCGGGAGTGAAATTTCATAATATTGTAAACTAACAAAAACACAGGTTTTCTTCCCCAAACAATGACAAAGTACATATCTGGGACTTGTTAGGGCTCTCCGGGAAGCTTTCCAGACTGAATGCAGATCAAAGCAAACAATAAGGAAGAAATCACATGAATATGCTAAAATCAGTGCTACCTTTTAACGGATTCAATTAGATGCACAAAGCAAGATTGTAAGCATTAAATATTTCCAGAGGGTCAGAGAGGCATTGCTGTTTATGGGTGAGAAGAATAAAACCAGAGGAAACAGGTACAAGATTCAAGTTGTTTACAGAAGAGACTCGGTTATTGGCACATCTAATCTGGGATAAATTGGGCACACCGGACCTAGATGGCTTCTAGCACTGTAGGGTAATCTTCGTGGATCTGTAAACAGAAGATCTGTCACCTAAGAAATCGCAATTTTGTTGAAACTTTAATAATAATCAACTATGAAAGGCATGAGCTGTTGATGGGTTACATGAGATCACCGTTTATATCGTTGGTTGTGAACGTGCAGGAACAGCTGAAAACCGAGACATTTGGTGAAAGGTAAAAATGCTGCTTGTTTGTAATTTTATCCTTGCTTCATGCAGTGTCAGTGTCGTGGTGCCGATTTGGATTGCTCTGCGAGGGGAAGATCTCTCTGCCAGGGTCTTTTTTAATGGTCAAGGTCAATTCTTCTGGATTGGAATTTTCCACGGACAGATACAAGTCAGTTGGGTTAGAAGAGGCAACTCCTTAGAGGCTCTGGTTTTCCTAAAGGTTTGCAAATACTGGACTCATGTGCAAGCTAAGTTATTCCTGTGGAAAAGAGATTTGATTGGTTACTCACTTGAAAACATCCAAGAACTGTGCGCAGGTCAAGGCCGCAAGGGCGGGTCTCCCAGGCTAAGATGCTCTTTCTGACAAGCTACCTTAGCGCTGGAGCCTCAGTCACTTTGTGTGATACGCTTTTTCTAAATAGCTGCATCACCCAAGTGGCTGAAGCTCAAGGAAGAAAATACTCCGGCTTCCCATTTCGCCAATATATTACTCATTGAATACAAGTGACTTTGAGATTTCCTTGTTCTCTAAGATGCTACTTGTCGGCCTGAAGGTTTCTGAACTGGTGCTAGAGAACGTATTCATTAAGTCTCTGCAATATTGTATCCCATGAGCACACATGCAAGATGCTCAGCCACTGCACTCAGCATTCAGAGCCCTCGAGGGACACTTGTGCCCCAAGTCCCGCCTCAGTGCTCATGACTGGTCTGTGCATGGAGGACTTGGTGTGCCCAGGGTGTGGCCACACAACAGGAGGTACTGCATGCACGTTCTGGAGGAAGGCAGGACACACGGCTGTGTATCTCTGCCTCTTCTGCGTGACAGCAGGACAAGTCATCTCACAGAATACAGGGAACAGATGACATCCCCAAAAGACAGTGTGTGCTCAGGTTTCCAAAACACCCCAAACAACAACAGCAGCAACAAAAAATCCCAAACCCACAAAGCACAAGCAGGGTATGCCCAAACACAGTTGAAGAGCATGTTTCCACAGCAGATGCTGCTGCCAAAAGGAGAAAGGGGTCTGCTTGATTTCCCTCGGCCTGGAACCCGTGAACTGCACCTCTCAAGACAAAGCTATGTTAGTTCTGATTAGGCCACATGGCGAGTGAAGCAAACTTGACCTTTCAAATTTGGACAACAAAAAGAGTGAGGGCACAGGTTAGAAGACACAGCGGGGGGACCTCTCAGCAGGAGTGCTGCTTTTCCTCTCTCCTCTAACTGGCAGTAGATGCAAGTTGAACCCTCATAATCTGAGAGGAGCTGGTACCCCGTTTGCCATCCTCAAGGTAACCAGCCCCACAAATGCCAGTGAGTGAAGAAAGAAAACGAGGGACCAGGTAAAGGATGACAGGGAACGAGCCCATGCGACATGCCAGCCAGGCAAGCCTAGTGATTGGAGCCACCTACCTCCGTCAATCCTCTCCATCTTCCGGCGTGATCTCTGTCTCTTTATGAACCACTACTTTGGTCACTGACATGTCAGGGTGCTGCTCTTTGGCCTCTTTAATTGCCTGAGCCAGAGCCTATCCCCAGGAAACCACAGAAGGGCAAAAAACAAAAAGGAGGTGGGACATGCATGAGCAGTGGGTGTAGACTTACGAGTTAAACCTATATCCACCATTTATACACGGGGGACAATGGTTACAAAAGGTATCAAGAATCACATATTGGAAAGTTAATTCAGAAAATTCCTTAGAACACATGCTGGGCTAGAGGAAGAGCACTGGGAGCTGCAGGGCAACACGCCTGTCTCTGTCTCTGCGTGGTAATTTGCCATCTCACGACACTACCTGGTCATGGTCAATGTCGGCATCTCCTGTGATGACTATTCTCTTCTCGATCCTGGTCTCCGAAATGCCTCCTTTCACAGTCTGAAGGAAACAAGTAGAAGTGAAGGAAATGTACTTACTGGCAGGAACAATCACTGTCCCATCTGGGGGATGGCAGAAATGGTGACAGCTCTACATGGTTTCTGCACGCATTCATCCAGAAACAAGACAGAAGACGACAGCACTTATTGAACCCATTCAATCCCTTTGGGGCCGGGTGGCTGGGGTCCTGGAGGACCTGTCTTGTGCCCAGAGCGAGGCCAAGCCCGTGGGTGAGCATCAACAGAAGCCAGCACACGGGGCAAGAGCGTCATAAATACAGAAGCTGGACTCTCCCTCTGCAGCTAGCCCGGCAGTCCGACAGTCAGGCCACTGTTCACACAGCCCCACCCATCAGCAGCTCCCACGAGTGCGTCCTCCAGCTCCTGAACTTGAGGCCCTGGCCCCCACTTACTTTGGTGATGTGTGTGGTGGTGGTGGTGCTGGTGGTCTCCGAAGTGATCGTCTGCGCGCTCATCAGCACGCCTGGCTCCAGATCGGCCCCTGGATCGACCTAAGCAAGCAGAGACAGCCGGGCCCATGGTTACACAGCCCTTCCGAAGCCTGATGTGCTTGTTACTGAAAATGCCCAAGTGTCTGAGACGAGGCACTGCCTCTGAGGACACCGCCAGTGGCATGCTGAAAACATTCAAGGAAAATATGGGTCCTCAACCAATCAGCGCAGACCTTTTACTTCCCATTAATCTCTAAGGAACAGACTTTGCCAACTGTCCCTGCAGCACTGCCCTGTGCTGTGAGGTGATCTAAAGTAACACAGGAGGTGCGCACAGGTGCCAAGCAAATGCTGTGCCGGTTTATCCCAGAGACCTGAGGTTTCGACCCTCTGTGAGGGTCCTGGAATGCTGACCCCAAGAGCAGGCGGGAAAGCACTCCCATGATGCAGTGCCCTGCAGCTGGAATCTGGGAGCAGCCCGGATGGGCGAGAGCTGGGTGCAGCCTAGTTAACCATCACTGTACTCACACAGGACACTCGCGAAGTTTGAGCAGCGATGACGGCGTGGACATGGCCCACAGCCGTGGGCACAGAACTCAGTTCTGAGGCTCTTTCTGTGTTTTAAGAAATGTTAAGATCTGGTTACGCCCTTTCCGCTTCATGCTCAGAAATACAACTACAATATTCACTTTGCTGACAGACAGGGTCTGGATGCATGACCCTTAAGTCTTACTGATCAAATATTTGTAGCTTTAGACTGAAATGCATGAAGCCGTAGAAGGGAAGAAACCTTGAGGTGCCCGGCTCAGCCTTCAGAGATGATCTTACCTGTGAGGATTCATATGTGATGGTTTTTGTTTCTGTGTGAACAACTGGAACTTCCTTGGTGGAAATGTCTAGTTTCCCAGCACCTGGTGAAATACTACCAAAGCTGATGGTTTCCGTCTTCATGGAGGATGACTGTGCCAAAGAGAAGTCGGGAGAGTGGCGGTTATGGTTTGAGCCGATAGTCTGGGGTTTCCCCCTCTTCTTCGGTATGCTTTGGTGTTTCAGTACTTGGTCTAAGCACAGGTTAATACGAAACAAGGGTTTAGATATTACCCTGAGAATCAGGTGGAGGATGAGGCACACAGCAAACATATTCCAATCTCCTTAAATTCCACTATATTTTTAATATGGAATGCCCCAGGTAAAGAAAATATTTCAAAAAAAAAAAAAACCAACCCAGTCTTTATGTCACACTCTTCAATCACATATACTCAACTTAGAGTCTAAGCTTTAAATAAGCCTTATAATAACTTAGAAAGATGGAATAGGTATTGACACTAGTGCACCCCTCTCCCCCATGTACCTCAGGACTCTAATAAAGGAGAATAAAAAATAACTTTCTGGCACTTGGAAGCTGGGCAAAGGAGACTCTGGTGCTTCTGCATGAGTATATTGATGAGAATATATCTATCAATTTCTCTAATGTCTTGGCCAGCCATCCCCTCCTTGGGTTTACTGCTAACTGTGATGATGTTAACAATAAACCCACTTCTGGAAGCAGTAGATTATGCATAATCAATAGCTGGGTGTGCTGTGGCTCCAAAGCTAGAAACCTTCTTGGAAACACCCCACTGCCATACAAGAAGGAAGGAAGAGGGAAAAGAGAGAGGAGGTGGATGGAGCCACCTCACCATCACTCCATGCGATCTCACTGCTGGGTGCCCCCCATCAGAGTGCCTTTAGTGCGCAGGACAGCATTCCATACTAGTTACCTCAGAATGAGTCCTTTGGTCCGAAGTTTCGGAAACGTGGAAGGCTGCTCCTGGGTCCTCCTCTGGCTTGTGGAGGGCAGCAGCTGCCTCTTCCTGTCCTAGAACAGGTTTATCAGCCTCTGTCCCTCTGCCTTCTTTTGCCTCCTCGGCCAGAGCAGAGCCCTCCTTCCCCTTTGCAGCAGAAGCTCCTCGGGGTGAGGGCTGGAGCTGGGCGGCAGTCTCTGGCTCATCCCCCGCCGTGCGAGGAGCATCCCCACTCGCATGCACATTCACCACACGCCGCTCCTCCACCAGCACTGTCTCCTGCACCAGCTTCTCCGTGCTGAGCGCTGGGTGCTGCGGGGTCTTTTCCGCCTCTGCTTCACCAGACTCGGTCTTGGTTTCCACCTTCTGTGTGAGAAAAGAGTGTGGTGTCAGAGTGACGCACCATAGACCCAAAGTCAAAACAAACACAGAAACAAAAAACTACAGCCCGCACTCCGCATCCAGGGCTCACAGTCAGAAACTCCGGTGGGAAACTGGCCCCCCTCCTCACACCGGAACTCTGATGCGTGCCAGCCCGCGCCCGCGGCAACCCAAGCTGCTACTTTAAAACACCCATATAAGCCACAAACCAAAAGAATGCACACGAAAGCACTGAAGCATCTTCACTTCAGCATGGGCTGCTTTCTTAGACACAGAGATGAGATCTAATGCTTCTGAGATTAAAAGCTATTATATTTTCCGCACATGAGTTCCTTTTGAATATGTGAAGTATATTCCTGCAATAGAGCCAGAGGCACATGGCAGATGCACTCAGCAGGCGCCAGGGACAAGCAGGGGGACTGTAGGATGCTGCAGGCAAAGCACCTCGAAACACACAGTGCATGGACCACAAAGGCGGACAGCAAGACGGACATGCATGTTCCGAAACCAGGGACAGAATGAAAGGGCCACCTGCACCCAGCTCTGTGAAGTGGAGGTCACCCCGCCTATGAACTCTGTAGGCTTGCGTGCCGACTCTAATAAACTGAAGATCTCAGAGCCATCCATGAGCTTTTCTCCAGAAGACTGCTTAGTCTGAGTGAAGAGAGAGATGCAGAGTCAAGCACATGAGAGACACGCATGGAGCACGCACACATTCACAGCTCGCCCAACAAATCATAGGCAGAGGGGACAGGGAGGAGGAGAAATGAAGGGGTCCAAGGTACGGACTTCAGAAACAGAAAAGAATAGGAACTAAAACAGCAAACTGGGGTGACCGTGAGCTCTCGGTGGGTAAAGCAGAGAGTTATTAGGGTTGGGAGGTGCCGGTTTAAGCAGATCATTTCTTCCCCCTTCCTCGCAAGCCACAGCAGCGCTACACATCTTGGGACCGCATAGCTGGAAACAAAATGGAAAAGTGTCAAGATGCCGATTTGGGGCTGCGATATTGATTGAACCGTGAACAAAATAAAAAAGCGGGGCTGGCTGCTCTCAACATAAAGCTAAGCAGCAGGAGGAACAGAGAGGCTCAGGGTGGAAGGGACTGCCTTGGACAATGTCATGCTGCAAACTGAAGCTGTGACCGAATGACAGCCACTGGTTACCACCACTCGGGACGCGGACGATTCGGTTACGTAACGAGCAGTGGCAATGGTGACTCCGGGCTCCTGCGAGTATCTCCATTCTGACAGGCTCTTCCTCCGGGGACCGAAGAGTCCCACTTTTAAGACCTCGCTCTCAGGAGCTTGCTCTGCTTTACCAGGCCATATACTTTCAGGATGAGGGTGGGAGGCCACCTCACCCTCCAGCTTGGGTGTCTTCTTGAGTTCATCTTCGGGGCTCTGCAGACGAGACTCAGCTTCCTTGATGGGCGTCAGGGACTCTGACAGCTTCCGTTTTGGCGTCTGGAGCTCGGGGGCTCTCCGAGATTTCTCATCAGCCAGGGCTTGCAGGACCTCGAATTCTGCCAGGATGGGAATGACCTTGCCTGGCTCCGACATGCCCCGCTGCACTGTCTGAAGCCCATCCCCCGGCAGGGGCTGGGCTGCCTTCTCCCCGTCTTTCCCCTTCCCTGTCATGGTGACAATTCTGCCCGACACGGTGTCGTAGGACTTCCCTAGGGTGTATACTTTCTGTCTGTTCTCTTCTTCCAGCTGCACTTCTCGGGTCCATCCAGCCAGCCCGTGCACTTCGGCCGCACCAGGCTGCAGCAGGTCGGCTGCGAGGTCACCTGTTCTACTGCTCACGGTCACCACCTTGTAAGTCACAATCTTTCTCGAATCACCATCAACTACCTCAGTGGGTATTTTGTCTACAATAACCCAGTCCTCTGTGCCCTATATTTGAAATACAAAAGCTAAGTTAGAAATTTTGATGGTACCTCATTTCTAAAATGTGAATCCTTTAAGGAAGGGGACATAAAACGAATGGAGACGTGCTGTGTGCATGTACCAACGCCCCACGAGGCAGGCAATCATTACGTACTACAAACTTGTACTAATGGAAAGGTTTTAAAAGTTCAGGCAAAAACATCCAGGTGACAGGTCTACCACGTGTCTACATAGGCCTGGTGGTTTAATCTAATAACTATGGCTGCAGTATCTAATTATCTGAAACTTACTCACTGTGACCTTCAACCTGAAGTACTTTCTGCGGGGTGGAGCTGCAGCAACTTCAGGTGAAGATGTTTCTCTAGATTGGAATATACTTGGGCGGTAAATTTTGCAAGGACTGTCTCTGCCCTCATGGTATACTGATTATTTTGATTTTTAAGAACAGGTAGCATTACTGAAGTTGTACAAGTTATTGAGCTTTAGGTGTGTAGACCTAAAAGAATCGTCCTCATGGTAAATACAATCCTCTGCTCCACATACAGGTGTTTCCTATAAAGAATCTGCCACAACCGCACAGGCTTCTGTGTCTGCCGCTTCCCGTACCTGGAAATCGCACTTCCGTGTACAGGGAAACAGTTCTAAGCTGCAAAGGTTACACAGTAAGTGCTGCATGTGCCTGAGCTGAAGGCGTTCTAATGAAACGCTTATCCACGGGACACGGGTGGATCCTTTTATAACCAAGCCTCAGTGGTTGGTACAGTGTTCTGCTCTTAACTGCAGCCGAAGGTCACTCCCTTAGTAGCTGTCTTCCACTTGCCTTCATCTTAGTTCCGGCAAAGTAAAAGAAAGTGAACTTCACAGAAACTTTTGCATTTGAGGAAACCTAAGATGACACGATGGGGACCAGCTAAAGAGGGAAGAGCAATCAGGCCAGGAGCATGCAAGCACCTGGGTTTTCATTTTGCACTAGGATACTCTCTACTGTCACAATGATCACAACCTGAAAACTTGAATTGTGACGTACGTGTACCCAGAGAAAATGGGTGTCAGCTGATCTACATGCGGGTGTGGACTAAAGGAATTGAAAAAAATAACCTCTAGTGCCGCTGGGACAGTTTTCTGGAAAATTATTTGATGAGAAGCAGCCACAGACCCCGCAGTGTCTCCTTCTTGCGTTTCCTTCATCATACTTGGCTATTGAGAAAACCAGCACAAATTCAGAACTTTCAAAATCAATCAAAAAGTTCACCTAAATTAGCACCACTCTACAGGCAAAAACAGCTTCGTATAAAAGGGCAGTCAAAGTGCTTTGATCACAACATACAGATAGAATCATCCAGAAGCCAGAAAGAAATGACATGGCACTAAAATATGAAGAGAACACTTTCTCCCTTGCCAGGATCCAAGCAGAAATGATATACCTACCTTAGTTTCAAACCAGATATATTTTAAAAGGAAAATAAAAACCAAAAGCACTTTCAAAACACACAACTTGGAAACAATAGCTCCTTTCGGGAAATCCTGTAAATTTGTTTTTTT